TAAGGTTCTTCAATCTTCTGGGACGTGATTTTTGCAGTGTGGGGTCGTGCATTGTCTTGATGAAACACCACTCCTCTTTGATTCACTAAAACAGGTCTTTTTTTCTTTAAAGTCGCGTTCAAACGCTCTAATTGCTGACAATAGACTTGAGTATTGATTGTCGCATTAGTTGGCAGTAACTCAAAGTGAATAATTCCTTTGCAATCCCACCAGATAGAGAGAAGAACCTTCTTCGCATGAAGTTCCATTTTCGGTTGTGGTTGGGCCTTTTCCCCATTACTAAGCCATTGCCTACGACGTTTAACATTTTTATAAAAAATCCATTTTTCATCAGCAGTCACAAATCTATCCAAAAAGGGCGAGATAAGGTTACAAGAATGAAAAGAAGAGCAGATCTCAACTCGCGATTTGCGGTTCACTTCAGACAATTCATGAGGCACCCATTTTCCAAGTTTAGGAACCTTTCCAAGTTGTTGAAGATGACGATGAACAGTTGTATGGTTTGAACCAAGCTTCATTGCCAATTCTTCAACTGATACTGCAGGATTTTCTTCAAGTGATGCCACAAGGAGCATATCATCAAACTCAACTGGACGTCCTGTTCGGTCTTCATCTTCAAGGCTGAAATTTCCATTTTTGAATGTTGCAAACCATCTTCTGCAAGTTTTTTCATTCAGGCATTCTTCTCCATAAGAGTCGCTTCGGCTGCAGAGTTCTCTTTTTTAAACTCATAAAGCATTATAGGAAGTATCTAAGGAGCATTTGAGGCACCCTTTGAACATCTTTAATCAGTGAAATTTGAAATACTTTATTCTGTAAAATAAAATTTAATAAGTTTAAATATGCCCAAATACATATGTATGATATATAAATATTTTTTATTTCCATTAAACATTCTAAATTACTAGTAAATTTCAAAGAATTAAAATCTGCACTCTTTCACAATATCTTCAACTCACCTCCGTCGGTCTCGCCATTAGTGACGTAACCTTTGTATGAGATATCCAGAATTGTACGGAGACTGATTTGGAATATATATTAAAATAAAATAGGAGATTACTAGGTGGTACACACGTAGGAAAATAAGTAACATGAAATGTAGGTCATTTGGTAACTACTTGAATAATAAGGCACAAAATTAGAATTTTATCAGTTAATACAAGTGTAGATGATAACGTTCTATCGAATGTAATATAAGATATCTGGAAAAGTAAGTTGTAGCGAGAACACTTGTGTTTGAGAACTGGGTTAAACTTTTGAATAATAAGGGTTTTTAAAAATTTCAAAAATCTTCGACAGGCACCATGGTAAAACGTTGTGGCCGATTTTTGGAGAAAATAAAAACTTAGGTTCCAATCGTTCATGACACAAGCACGTCCAATTAAGAAATTAGGATCATTCAAACAGATAAGGTTAGGACAATAGACGTTGGTAGGTGAATTGAAAATAGGAAGTCGGACCAGTGAATAAAAATCACGTGCTCATTAATTAAATTTAGCAGAACATGTTGATTAACTCTAAGGATGTGTAAAAACTTCGTAAGAATTTATGTTCCAAGTTAACAGTATATAAATTACAAAAAAAA